GATTAGCATCACCTTATTATTTGTCAGGTGACAATTTAGTCCTATGGATGAATAAGTCATTTCTAATGTTGTTTATGAGATGATTTTTGACTTACGTGTCAAGCCTGCTGATTTGTCAAGTGTAAGTTGAGTAGGTCTATGTAAAAAAAAATAAATCTACATAGTTTCAAGACCATTTCTGTGTGTCTCACCAAAGAGGCATATCTTGTCACATGTGCATTTATTCATGAGTCATCGCAGAAGCATTTTTTATTTTCAGTTTTGTCCTTCACTGTGTTATATCATTAATCATCAAACTGGATAACTAATGATTACCTAACATGTAGTGGTCACTGACTCACACTAGAAATGAATCATAGCTGCCTGGAATCATCCTGATGTTTTTGCACATGTCTCAAAGATGTAATAAAAATAATAATAATACATTTTATATATAGGTGCCTTTCAGAACACTTAAGGTCACCTCACAAAACATAATAAACCAACAATATTGGTACAGGGGAGCGAGGAGAGATGTTTCACACATTGGATTTAATTTAGCCTAGTAATTTGATAGAAGGAAACACATCACACATGACTGTGAAATATCAATAAATAATTGATATCTGTTGGAGCAGGGTAATAGTCGTTACCAAATGCAGACAGACAATATTAGGAATTATAAGTATGAATGTCTGTGGTCAAATGACACCTTCAACCTTGGAGACAAAAAAGGACAGAGCATCTGGAGTTACAAGAATGACCTTCATAAGCACCAATGGTTCTCTTAGAGGCTCCAAAAACAACAACACTTGTTATATGTCATTCCAACATATTTCATTCAAACCCAGCTAGGCACACGCTGTATGTATATATTCTTATTCTATATTGGTTGTAAAATAAAGAAAAAAAAACACCTTCACATTGAGCTAATAATTACCCCATGTAGATACAAATTACCTGGGTATCACCCAAGCAACAGGGCACAGATTGCTTGGCAGCACCAGACAATGTACACATGCACAGTTAACAATGTTAAATTTGTATTATTTTGAGAGGATCACTGCATAGGTGAATACAAGATCATCCTTATTCCATTGACAACTCCTACAGAATAATCCTGCACTATAGCATCAGAATATCAGGTGTCAGAATGTATCATATGGGCTAACACAGCACAGTTTCTCATATTAATGAAAGTTGAATTCTTCTAAACTGCATGCAGCCAATGACAAAACAAGCTACTTACTAATGAAATTCATATCTGAACACTAATGACTTGCAGTTTATTGTATATTATATATTTATATGCGTGTATCCCTTACTTTCCCTGCTATTTTCACACTTTGTCTGTAGAGAGTGTGAAAAAGGCTTTTATAAAATACGATTTGAGATATATATTTGCTCGACAACAACAAAAAGTTGGAAAACAAGTGAAAAGCTCTTCTTAAAGCATAATACATGATTTGAAAATGGATTTTTCAGTGCTGTGGTGATCCTTCACGTTACGTTTTGAATATCCGTAAAGGGACTCCACTGACCAAAGTACTAATATCTTCTGGGAAAACGAGACTTGTATTTCAGCTCTAAAATGAAAGTGGACACAGATCCGTGCTTGAATCAGTATTGTGCACACTCTTTCCAGTATGTTCTTTGAACTCTCTGCTCGCCTGTGAATGGCTGTTCAGTGAAGGTGCCCCCATTGTACATTTCAATCTTTGTCCCACTGTACATTGAAAGCCTTTATTCACATACAGCGCAATGAACGTTTCAGTTAGAGCTAGGGAATATGTGTGGTCAGCCCATTCTCCCCTCATCCAGCTCAAAAGACATGATAACATCCAGCAACGGGCTCCACTTGAAAATATAGTTATGCAGATTGCTTCCTCTGATATTTTTCCAGCTTTGGATAAGGAAGACTCTCCAAAGGTAAGCTCCACCAGGACAGGAGAACAAATTAAATATCATGTCAAGTTGATTACGTCTGAGATTGTTTTCCTTTTTAATAATATATACGTTTCATGATTCATTCTTGGATTAGGATCAGAGTTTAGATCTTACTTGTGAGAATTGTGTCTCATTGAATGTAACTTAATGTTTTAGTGAATATGAGAAAGCGCTGGTCATTTACAGTGTCATGCAGCATCTGTTCTCATGTAATAGCATATAAACCACACATGATGATTATAACTTAAACATTTAATCTTTTCAAAAAATACATACTGAAAAATTACACCAACGGTCATGCCAGATTCTGACATGTAATATCAGATGATGACACACTGAGAATGCTATTGTATGATATTTAATGTATATTTACAGGGGATTTCTAGGTCAATATTTAAATCTAGATAATGTTTTAAAGTTATACATGTACAAATATATCTGGTTTCATGCACCTGCTTCCTTGGTAAAACAATTCTCCCCCTGGCACCCTGGTGCAGGGTGTATGAGCAACCACATCAGTTTGATTGTGATTCAGTTATTGATCAAAACATTCTGCCTTACTCCTGTGAATAGTCTTTCAACTATTGTGTTTCCACAGAAATGGGAGACTGGTCCATTCTTGGCCGCTTCCTAACGGAGGTGCAAAACCATTCCACAGTCATTGGCAAGATATGGCTGACAATGCTGCTCATCTTCCGCATCTTGCTTGTGGCCCTGGTGGGGGACGCTGTCTACAGTGATGAGCAGTCCAAGTTTACCTGCAACACCCTACAGCCTGGATGCAATAACGTCTGCTATGACACCTTTGCTCCTGTCTCACACTTGCGCTTTTGGGTCTTTCAGATCGTTCTTGTCTCCACACCTTCTATCTTCTACATTGTCTACGTCTTGCAAAAAATCACCAAGAATGAAAATGTAGAAGTTAAGAAGGTTGAAGTAGTACCCAGGTCCCCACCTGCAAATTTGGACAAATGTATTGGAGGAGATAAAGAGACAACTTTGGAAGCCGGCAATCCTTATAACACAACCTATAACAATGAGGACTGGAGCTTACTGGAGGGTGTGTGTGAAGAGAAGAGCCAGCTGGAAGAGGAATTGAAAGAGGTAGAAAAGGACCCAACCCAGCTCTCCAGCCAAGTTCTACTTATCTACATCATACATGTTTTGCTGCGCTCCATCATGGAGATAATCTTCCTTATTGGGCAGTACTACCTATTTGGATTTGAAGTTCCCCACCTCTTCCGCTGTGAGACTTACCCCTGTCCAAACAGAACTGACTGCTTTGTGTCTCGAGCAACAGAGAAGACCATCTTTCTCAACTTCATGTTCAGTGTAAGTCTAGGTTGCTTCATCCTGAACATTGTGGAGTTGCATTATCTAGGCTGGATTTATATTTTCAGAGTTTTGTTCTCTGCATGCTGTACATGCTGTCAGTCAGATAGAGGCCCGGTGCAGCAGGTGGAATTATACGCCAACAACAACCCACTGTTGCTTGAGCTCAAACACTCTTTACGTGGCAGGGTTGTTCTGCAGACCACCTCTACCATGTCCCGGGACAAGAGCAGCGGTGTCGCAAACCAGGCCCCGGCCATCTCCTTTGAAACAGACTCTACATTGGAGTGCACTTCAAAGAGAAATCCAGATGAGAAGGAACGCACCAAGACTAGACTGCACAATATGGCCAAAATAGGAAGAGGCAAAAAGTCATGGCTGTAAACAATTTCAAAATCATTCATCACTGCGCTTGTATATCTAAAAACTCATTGAAATTGAAATATTTTCAGGGTGGACTAGTTTAAGTAATGAAGTTAATGATTATTAAAATGATTCATGATTTTACAATTTAAGAGAGAAACTGTGACAGATTGTATTTGTTTTTAGCCTCAGAAGATCTCAGCAGTGCAAGAGTTCTTTACATTAATAAGTTTTTAATTTTTAATGCTTTGGAGATGTTGCATTGTTGCAGTTTGTTCACCGTTCTTGGTTTATTAGGTGTTCCAAGAGAAGCACTGATTAATGTAGTGCAGCATTTTCTGAAATGAAACCAATGTTTTTGCTGTGACTCATTCATATCTACACTAATTCCTACAGGATCCTTTGTAAATAGACAGATGATGTGTTTATACATCAGCGGCTTCATACTTAGTTAGCCTGTTAAGTAAGTCTATATGTTGGACCGATTCTCATTGTTTTGTACATCTAAATTGTGCTGCAAAAAAAGCCAAATTTAAAGAAAGTCGGTGGAGTGTAACCCATACAGTATGCTACATGTGCTCACTGCAGGACAAAATGCTTGATTTTTCTTGATGTGGTCAGATATGTCTGATAAAAAATCTTCTTACATGACAGTTATATCTCATAATATATCCTTAAGATCTTACATTTCAGAATTACAGTTTGAGCTGAAATGGTACTCATATGTGCAAAAGTCTCAAATGTATGAACTAGGGGTAGCACCAAACAAATACAAAGATTTATTAGAACATTTATGATCAAATTTTAACTCAGCGTCCCTTACATACATCCAAATGAAGACGTGGTTGGGCGTTGAGTTCCAAGATGAGGCAAAAGTGGAATACCTGGGAGTGTTTACTTGCCCCTGTGTATACCTGCACATTCAGTGTTCAAGTAAGTAAGTAAAAATACCAGGAGAGGTCACTGCTGTCCGGTTTACACAGGTGCTGGCTTCAGGTACTATTGGAATTTCTACACTTCTGAGGAGTTTTAAGCATTGTAGCCCCAGATAGGATTTGAAAGGGCTAATTTTGGCACATTTTGTCCATTATGTAACATATGAAGATGCATTGCATGAAAGCAGTTTAAGTAAAAGGTGGTGAAAGTATTCTTGCAATAATTATTTGTTTTTGTGGTGTTTTTCTGTTCCTTTAATTTCAACAGGTTCTATTTTTCATACGTAAATATATATAGGCTATTCATTCATGAATACTTAATGCCCGTTTTTTAATTAAAAACACAAATACGGTATTGGTTGTGTGCTAGGCCGTTTATTAACGATCTTACTACCTCTAAATCGGAGTTTACGACAAGCTATTGAAGGCATCACAAGTACATATCTCGTACCTACTGTCAATTACAAGGAAGAAAATGTTGAAAACTTCAAGCAAGACAACAACGCGGTTATTTGCGGGCAATTACAGGTAGGTCAGTGTCATATCTGCTACTAGCGTTTACTCTGCGGTATTTTATATTAGTGACATTTTACGCTGTCTACTGAAAGTGTTCCGTAAGGCCACCGGTGCTAGAGAATGAGGGCAAAGCAGCTTAAAGGGAATGCATTATGGCCAAGCTTTGGACTAATCGCAGCGACAACCTAGCTATAGAGTACCTATGTGCAGTAACTTCAGAAAAGCTAAAAGTCAAGAATGTTTTCTAATTTCTTGTGAAAAGTTACCACGAGAATATTCACAGAATTGAAAGTGTAAATGCTTTCAGCTATTTCAAACCCGAACTGACCTCAGGGGATGTGATTAAGTGTGGATTAGGTGCGAATTTACTGTTTATGGGTTCACACAGGATATGTGTGTGAAAGGCATGCATCTTCGGTTGAGAATCTTATGCACACATGTTCAGATGTGCGGCATCACTTTAATGGTGATGCTGAGCGCTTGGTTGCGAGACAGATAAGGTCAAATCTCTTCCAAACAGTTTCTGTATGTAGGGCAAGCTCAGATATATTGTGCTATAGACATGTTTCAGTATGCAGGACTGAGAGAATAACTCCCAAATCTAGAGTATGTTAATGTTTGTACGCCATTTCCATGTTGCAATGCATGGAAGGTGATATTCACACACAGTGTTGGCTACTTCTGATTCGAATTATTTTGATTGTCTGTTGATACTTTGGATGAAAAAACAGTCTGATTAAATAATAATTTTGCTAAGGGTGATGTACAGTATTTGATAAAAAATATGATAAGATGTAGGAAAAATGTTGTAAAATTCAATTATAGGCTCATCAGTCCTGCCATACACCAGCTGAGTATAGCTGGACTGTTAACCTACTGATGTGCATTCTTTGACTTGTGGGAATATATTCATAGAGATAAAGAGATTTATATTACAATATATATATATACATATATATACGAGAGTTGAAAAAGGGGCCAAACATGGATAGCATCATAGAAATAATTTACTGTATCTTCCAGCTTCTGTCATCATATTGTATGTGCGCTTACAGATGTGCATAATTAAACAATATTGGCCAGTATTGCCAGTTTCCTAGTCAGGCTCTGATTGCCAAACTAAATTAGACAGTTCTGTTAAGCTCTCAGAAAATATTTTCTTTATTTTCTTCTCTTTTTCTTTTTCCCTACAGATGACATCATAGGTCCTGTTGTGTCTCTGAAGTACTTTTATGAGATCTTTTCATAATTATTTATATCAAGCTGTCCTTTTCTCGCTGTAAACAATTCCAACTGGTTAAAGACTGCAGAAAAGTTTGAGCATGTTTCACCTAATTAAGAAAGACAAGGATAAGGAAAAGGACTCGGGCAAGAAGGATAAGAAAGAGAAGAAAGAGAAGAAAGAGAAGAAAGAGCGTATGTCCCAGGCAGAGTTAAAGAGCCTGGAAGAGATGAGCATACGTAGAGGCTTCTTCAACCTCAATCGAGGGAGTTCTAAGAGGGACCCTAGGAGTAAGTTGGAGATCTCTAGTCCCATCCCAATTATGGTGGCTAGCAACACGGAGCTCAGCCTGACAGACTTGGAGGCTGAGCGCCTTCACAACACCCTGGTGCAGGACGTGGGGCCACTGAGTGCAAGTACCTCTGGTGAAAACATAAAGGGAATTGAACTGGAACATCATCGCACCTCTGTAAAGGAGAGAGCAGCTAAGTTTGGGGAATTGGCCACATTGAATTCCGTGGTAGGCCAGAAGCACGTATCTTTTTCCCTGAAGAGTAAAGAGGACAATGCTGTGGAGGCTTCAGATCTTTCTGGGCAGAACTGCACTACATCTTCACCGAAGTTCCACCCCAAACCAAAAGGCACCAACATGGTTCACATTCCTGAGATAATGGAGAAGACCTTCCCTGGTGCAGACCTACAGTTGCCTATGCTTGTTGCGCCACCAATACCAGATCCGAGAGAGCTTGAGCTGCAGCGGCGCAACACTGGGGATTTTGGCTTCTCTTTGCGGAGGACCACCATGCTGGATAGGCAGCCTGATGGGGGAGTGTGTCGGCGTGTGGTACACTTTGCCGAACCTGGTGCTGGGACCAAGGACCGGGCTCTGGGCTTGGCGCCAGGAGACAGGCTGGTGGAAATCAATGGGGTAAATGTGGAGAACAAGAGCAGGGATGAGATTGTGGAGATGATCCGTCAGTCTGGAGAGACAGTCCGGCTTAAGGTGCAGACGATTTTGGAGCTGAGTGAGTTGAACCGCAGCTGGCTGAGGACCACTCAGGGCCTGCACAAAGAAGCCTTGGATGTAAGTAGTACTGTTGAATGATTTTCAGCCTACTGAGTGAATAGATTATAACTTGCAAACACAAATAGCACATTTTCTGGTTAATTTTCTTCATTGCCTAATTTTATACATTTAAGTGGTTACATCTCAAAAATCTGCTTTTTTTGTTAGCTATGATGTCACTTTGGATGTCGGGACAATTTCAGACTTTTGAAAATTATTCTCCATATTTGCATTTCAATGGGAAACAGGTTGTGTTCTTCTGGTCCTTGGTTATTTGGTTATTTATATACAGTGTATAGTTGCATGTGTTATTAAATTCATGTATGGGGTAAAATTTATCATCACCTAAAATAATTTTTTCTCACTGTGGTAATTCCACAGTGAGGTTTGGCACCCATGTATAGTGGATTAAAGATGTCTGGATCATGGGTGGAACTGTAATGACAATGGTAATGTGCCTTTGTGCTTGTATGTATGGGGGAGTGTGTGTATGTTTTGAAAGAGAGAATGTGTTTTGGTGTATATATAATCCCCCCTCCCGCCCCCCCTCCGAGTCCTTTGACACCAAACAATAGGACGCTGAAGGAAACAACGGCCCAAACGCCACCACAGACCATGGCCATATGGTCTTGTAAGACTTGGCTGGCAGCCCATTCAGTTCTTTTCGCTCAGATAATCATGTGCAACAAGTAAAGGAGCATCAAGTTAAGCTCTTCATTAAGTGGCACAACAAACACCTGAATTTGAGCTTTCTTCATTTTTGTGGTAGTAGAGTTTAGACAGTGGGGGAGATAAACTTTGGTTAATGTTAGGGCTGGGCAGTATGCTGTTATTTGTGATACATCAGTCATGTTTTCACTGCACTTTTACATTTTTCTAAAATTTCTTCCAATGTGTAGATGTAGATTTAATTCTGTAATCACAAAATTAGAACAAAATGAAACAGACTGTTTTGATTGAAAGCCCCAGCATACTAGTTACATTTTAAGGATACGTGTAAATAGAATGTCACACGCAAGAAAATATCACATGATACGATGGTATTTTGTCCTATTGAACTGCCCCATATTAATTACATTATAGTGTGTGTATTGATTCTGATAACATAAAATAGAAGAATATGTAGACGAGACAGATGTTTCAATCAGTTAAATTAATTCCCTTTGACACCACCACATTGGGCCAGTTGTCAGATACAGATTTATTCATTTATTCGGATTTATAATAGCAGACTGACTTACTAACTCACTAATATATAAAGTGTTTGAGTAATGACTAGGATTGTCGCCATTCTTTCGCAGCACATCAGGGTTGAGACCTGGGTCAGATTTGCTCAGCATGGTGTGAAAACTCAGTACTTAACCCATATTGTGGGGCTGTACTTGGCTTGTTGCTGTGGCATTTTAATAAGATATAAAAGGTGCACTGTACAAGGCTGGTGTGTACAAAGTTGAGACATTACAGCAGTGACAGCAGATAAGCTAACAATGCAAGTGCCATTTTGTGAGGCTCACTTGTTTTTTGCCTTTGTTACCAGGAAATCACATATGTTCTTCTGATGACACTTGTCCCCCCCCACACTCCCCATACAGAAGTAACAATTAAGGAGGCAAGCTTTTTATTTTATAATATTAAGTTTAACAGAAATGGTGTATCACAATTGGAGTGTGCACTGTAAAACAGCAGGTGTGAACTTCATATGTGCGGATCTGTGTCTCACGTTGTCTTTCTCCCTCCATCTAATACTTTTATCCATGTAATCATGAGTTTGAATTACATGGGACTGTTGGGATGAGTGTATACACAGCCAGATATACCATTCATTTGCTTGATTTGGTCCTACATTGGGCCGATCTTGATGATCATCACAGGACAGACCATTTTAAAGAGCAGAAAATGTGCATGTGAGCGTGACCTAGAACCAACAGCACTATTTATAGTTGGTTATAATAAGATGTGGATTCTGGATCTAGAGCTCCGCAACACAGTTAGAACCATAAATGATGCATGAGCATATTTTGCATGTTGGCTGAATGTAGTTAAAGGTTAGTAAAATAGTTTCACATTTTGGGAAATATGCTTATTCACTTTCTTTCCCAGTGTTAGATGAGCCGTTCGATACCACTCTCATATCCAGCCACTAAAAGTGAAGCTACAGCCAGGAGGCTTTTAGCTTAGCTAAACATGAACACTGGAAGCAGGAGGAAACAGTTAGCCTGGCTCTGTCCAAAGGCCTGCCGCCTAATTGCTAATAAAGTAACTAATGAACACAGTGGATCTCTATCTGTGTTGTTGTATCCATATCTCGTTGTGGTTTTACCATATGGGCTTCTTTGCTGGGTGCAGTGACTCCCTGGAGTCTTGTCATCACTGTCAGGTTGCAAGGAATCTGTGTAACTGTAGGACTGTAGTAAGAATACAGTAAGGAGCCAGTTGTTGAACAAACATTCAGGTTTGGTATCAGTTGAACATCTGCTCTCCCTCTGTCTGCTGTCTCTTTCAGTTTTATCATTGCTGTATATGGTTTCTTGTTACAGTATCATCAGATGGTTTGCTTTAAGATGCATAACACACCCTCCACCTTTACACACAAATCTGAAAAATACAGGAATCTACTCACCAATTGCATTGTCTCTGGCACTAAATGAAAATAATCTCAAACAATTGCTATTTGTTATTCAAATGGACAGTAGTAGATCACCTCTCAAGAGAAAGAAAGAACTACTCCTACATTTATTCTGGGCCTAAATTAAATTATTTCATCTCTAGGCCAAGTATGCACAGCTGAGCACATGAACCTTTTGTCCATTGGGTGGCAGCCACTGTCCACACAAAATGAGGCCAGAACAACTATTCTTCTTTGGTTTTATTTCCAAAGCGTTCCATGTCTTTCCGAAAGCATTGTAGGCTCTGGGTTTCAGGCCAGTTGACCCGTGTAAAAAAAGAGTTTGAACTATTGTTTGAAAACAGGATTTGAAACTTTCTAGCAAAGATGTGAATGTCTTTAGTGATCACACTCAGAATTTATGCAACTTTACAAACATTTGGCCTCAGACTTTCTGAATATGCACAGAGGGGAAAGATTTAAAGAATTCAAAACAACCAAAACCAGTCTGGGTTGAATCTAAAGGAGGATGGTCTAATCCTGTGTGTCTGAACAAGGTGCAAAGTTAGTGCTCATACCAAATGTCTGTTCAGTTTGTAGAAGGGAATTGTGTAAGTGGGGCTGTGATACCCTGTGTCTGCTTATTGTTGTCCCACAGACATTCTGAAGGGAGGGGCACTATTAAACAATTTGCAGTTTTCCAGCTGGTTGAGGTTTCAGTTGGTGAGAGGCATTATGAAACAGAGTTGCTATGACATTTTCTAGAGGGGACTCACAAAAAGTCATTGGTGCCAAAATGTGAACTGGTTAGTGTCTTCATGAACACCACATGTCACTTAGTTGTACACCTGAGTCTATTTAGCAGTGCTGAAATGACATTTGCTTGATACCTTTTACTCCCATATTTAATAATTAAATAAAAAATATAAATTTAAATATGGTAGCATAACAAGAAACAGGAAAAGCAGAGCCACGTGATATTTCAATAAAATCCCCAATCAAACATTGCAGGAGCTTATTTAACCTGTTTACATTTAATAAAACTAAAGACCAGTGTGGCCCATGGCTGACCTGATGTTGCCGAATGTTTCATCTAATATCCCTGCATCACTTATCTCTCATCCCATACATTTCCTGTCTTTCTGCAGTCCAGACACAGTTTCGTCATTAGAAAATTAGCAAATGGTGTAATCTTCTCCCCAAGCTGCCCATTTAAATCACATCATCCCCCTTTCTAGTGGGAGGCGATGCTACAGAGGCAGAGTATTAGCACAGGCGTGGATTAGAAAGAGGTGGGGCTTCCAAAGATAAAGCTGTTTGGTTCATGATAGAGGCTATAGTTGTGTAATTTCTCCTTACCCCCATTCTTTACATGCATACAATATTTAATGTGCAATACTTTTTTGCCGTGGCAGTACAGTGACACAAGTTGCAGACATTGACCTATCAGCTGAAATGAGTAACTGACTATTTTGACTGCGTTTGACATACTAAGGCACACATACTTGAAATTCTTGGGTGTGTGACTGATACCATGTCTGTCAGCCAATGAGACATACACATTTATCAAACACACCCTTATCTTATCAGACATAAGCAAGAGCTATTTTAATTGAGCACCATGATTTGTGTTATGATGCTTTTAGTGTCTCTACTAACAAATAATACAGGATATATTGTTCATATTATGCGTTACTGTTTTATGGAAATCATTAATGTATGCTGTCACAACAGTGTCCAGTTTCAGTATTTGCAAATCAATTCTGCCCCCCGCCCCCAACACAGGAACCACAGGTGAGATCCCACCTGAGTTTAAATTTGATGCTCCTAAATCATGCCCATGTGACCTACTTTCAGAAAGAAGTTCTGCTTTTCAGGCCTATTTACTATTACTGAGTAAAATCTGGGTCACATCCTGGAATTTTGAGAGGACTGCGTGTGATGTCCCATTCATTTCTGCTCTTAGTTTCCAGAGCATGGCCACTGGTCAGATGTCATGAATTCTGCTTGCTTTTTTTTGGAATACACTGCATGGAGATCTTCCGTCAATAAATGAAACACTTTCATTTCAGGGATTTTGTCCTTCTGTCTTCAGATTGTCATAGCTTGTCTGTGCCTGGTTTGTCTGTTCTCCTGGTCAGCGCTGCATTTTCTACCAGGGCTACAACCGAGATTATGAAAAAAATTGAAGACATTGTTGTGGACAAACCAAGAATCTATTTTTCATTTCATGTTTTCAATCATATTCAATATAATTATATTATTAGGATTAAGTGGTAATAAACTCTAGTTAACACTACACAACAATTTGCAACACGATTCACACAGATTTCATAGTATTGAAGGATTTAACTGGGACAGAATCAGCAGTGTTTATGGTGTATAGAGTCCTTAATCTTTGGTCCGCACTATG